TTGCAGGCTGACTTCTCTAGAAGCAGACGCTGAGCTGGAGTTTGCAGTACAAGATGTTTATTAGGGATCAACACCCATGAAGGGAAGTGGGAGGAAGCAAGATTGGGCAGAGGGAGATTAAACTGCGGTGCAAGCCTGACAAACCTTGGCCAGCCCGGCAGGAAGCTCTGGAGCAGACACCGACCATCAGAGTGCCCCAGCAGGCTGACATTGTCTATCCCCTGTCTCTCAGGCACTGGATGTATGTGGCCTTGGGTGACAAGGCTCTGGCCAGGGCTGCTCTCTGCAGCAGAGGTGGACCTTGCAGCTGGAGATTACATGCTGACCGCATTCCCTAGAAGTTCTTTCCCGAGGGGCTATCTGGTTGGTGCATCTCCATTTGACCACAGAGATTTCTTGGTTAGCTTGTGGTACCAAAATTGAGTGTGACAAATAAGTATGTCAAGAGTGGAAAGAAACTCATAAAGAGTCACATGTTAGAGAGACACATTTGCATGTCTTTTGTAGGTTTTTACAATATAAAAGTCAAAGAAAGACATTGAGTGGGACATTAGCTATCTTGGTTGTCTGTACCAATAACATAGAAGTGATTTGAGAAACACTCCCTGTCCCAAGAGGATGCTGGGCACAGACCTCAACTGTAACAGGAGGGGCATATGATATGGGGTGGAAAGAGCCTGTATTGCAGAAGCACCATAATATCTTGGTTGTGATGATAATTCTAAAGCCATGGTACTTATTAATCACACACAGTAAACAACCTATCGAATGAAGAGAGAGATTTCTTTTGAGCATCTAAAATGTATAAGGTGAGGGTGCTGGAGGCCATGATTATTTCCCTTTTTTCAAAGTCATTTAGAGCCCCTTGACCAGAATGTAGGAGAAAGAGGAGCAGCTCCAGTGGAGACAGGTCCAATCCACTGAGGGGCAGAGATCCTCAGGCACTAGAGCCAGGATGCCAGGGTAGGGTCGGGGGATGCTTTGACCCGTGCTTTGACCTGGACCCCATGGGAAGCTCCAACTTATGAGGCCAAATCAGAATTAGAAATCCAAGCACACCTGTTCAAAGATTACAAACACAAAAGAACCATCTGGAAACATGCGACAGCTTTTCCTTTATTGAAGCAGAAAGTCGGTGTCCAAAGGTTTCATGCTTCATGACAGCCTTCGCTGTGTATTTAAGCCCATCATGGAAACACTACTTGTAACCACCACACTGAGATGGTGATGGCCTCCAGTGAAGGGCGACCAGATGAAAATGGAAGGAGCTTGCTGGAGGCTGGTTGCTTCCTCACACAGGGCTATTTGTAACAACTACTATGGGCAAATGGAAGAAATTATAACCGTACACCACTCTCACAGGAGATGGCAGGCAGCAATCTGCGCTGCTCGCCGGCCACGGGAAGGCACTGTGTCCAGTCCTACTCTAGCCAGTCCCTCCCTTGACCACAGCTCCTCTCAGGCTGCCTGTAGGTAACAGGATGGCATTACTACCCTAAGGACGTAATGTCCCAATTGCTCAAGGTTGCCAATCTTTATTTTTTTGAAGTTTTCTGGCAGCTGATTTCTGATACATAAAGGACAAATTTGAGTAATGACTAATTTTAAATTCTAACAAATTTATTAGTTCAACATATTGTGCCTACTACATACAAGGCCTTGTGTGTGGGGTGAGTGTATTTGACACATACCAGATCAGGAACACACACAAATCTGCTTCTTGAAGTGCTCACCCAAAGAGGCTGTTGTGTGTACAGCTTTTCCTGGGAAGTGTCTACAAACCAGTTTATAAGCCATACAAGGACACCAGTCTCGTGATTCTCAGCCAAGGGGTATCACCTGACAGAACTTTCTATACCATCTTCCATTATCTGAGTTCACATGGCACTTGGCTTTTCCATATTGCTAGACTGTAACCATTTTGAGGGAAAGGACTATTGCAGTTGCAATATAACCTCAGTGGGTAGAAAGGGACTGGCTTATAGTATGTACACAAATGTTTGCTGAATGAATGAGTATTCTGTAGGCCTGAAAGACAGTCACTAAAGACCAAGTCTCTAGCCATCCAAGCTGACTACTTCAGGACCACAAAGCCGCTTGAATATGCATGTTGTGATATGTGGACTTAAAATTCATTAAAAAAAATTTTTTTTGATAAAAAAGCCAATTTCTTTTTTGGTAATGAAAACACATCATATTTCATTCAGTTTCTTGATTTTTCTGATTAATAGAGTTCTAGTAAAATGTTATGATATACTATAATTCTCTTTTTATTTTAAAAAGTACTCACACAGCATATTTTCTAGAAATGTTGAATGGATCACAACTTCCTCATGGATTTCCACATGTTGACTCTTCCAATGCTTTTATCTTAAGATAAATCTGTTACTGAAACTTAGTTTAATTTGAATGTAGAAGGGTCCTATTTATGCAGTCATTTAAAAACTAAGACAATTTGCCAACAAAGGTACTGAAAATCCTTAAAATGTAATGAGTTGCAGCATGTCTTTAATCCTTCACTGAATCTGTGTTAGGACTGGGACGGCCCAATACCGACAATTGGATCCTAAAGGAACTAGGCGTGATCATTGTGTTAGGGTGCAACGCAGGGTTTATAGTTCTTGTGGTATTCCTTTCTTAAAGAAAAACATCTCCTTTCTTAAAAATCAGAGGGGAAGGGGCTAGCCCGGTGGCGAAGCCATTAAGTGTGCATGCTCCTCTTCGGTGGCCCGGGGTTCGCAGGTTTGGATCCCAGGCGCGGAACTCCGGGCACGCACCCATGCACCGCTTGTCAAGCCATGCTGTGGTGGCGTCCCATATAAAAGTGGAGGAAGATGGGCACGGATGTTAGCCCAGGGCCAGTCTTCCTCAAAAAAAAAAAATGAGGAGGATTGGCATGCGATGTTAGCTCAGGGCTAATCTTCCTCACAAAAAAAAAAAAATCAGAGGAGGAAAAGGCAGAGTCTCTGGCATTTTTTTCCAACTAATGTACATTGGCCAAAGTCTCATTTACCTCTAAACTCTCAGTACGTCTCCAATATGTGTCCCTTAAGTAATTCTATGCTGAGTGTAGATTCAACAAGCACAATCATGGCTCAGCCTTCCTCTTTCCATCCCTCCCCTCATCCTCAGCTCCACTGTGACTATGATAACACAGAGTATCAGAAATGTAGTATCAGAAGGGCATAGAATGGAAAAGCCAAACTTAACTGTGTTCTCTCTACCTAACTGCACAATGTTATTTAGGTTTGGCCCATGCTCATTGCTTATTCTTCCAAGTTCCTCAGAAGATATCTGGGTCTTCTCCTGGGAGTGGTGGCCATGTGGACAGCTCTCTCCATAGACTGGCCTCGGAGAAGTCATCCTCCCCTTGACTGTAAGCGGTGCTTGTTGTACTGGGGCCCATGTTGATGTACTGGTCCCAGGTCAAGACTTACTTGCCTCCACTATGCACTGCAGGCAGCACGTGAACGGTTAGTGAGGCCTTTGTATTCCCCCTCACTCTCCGTGTTGCTGCCCATTTTCTATTCACTTTATTTCCCACTAACAGGTACTTTAGATGTGGGCAGGGAGAAGAAGGATAATGTGGCAGAGTCCCATGCTTGTGTGTCCTCTTTAGAAGGGATGGCCTTGAAACTGAAAGCAAAGTAACTCACAGCACACTGGGAAGATCAGCTGCTTCCTCTAGAGCAAGCGGCAAAGCTGGAGTGGTTTGTGGTGCCGCTGTAAGTTCTCCTTGCAAATTCCATTGGGCTAACTGGGAAAAACTTGGGAAGTAAGTTTGACCAGAGGAGAGAGAAAAACTGGCCAGCCAAGATTGTCTTAAGGTATTTTGGAGATTTTATTTCCTTATCACAGTCTCTTATTCTTCATACTCTAATATGGCTATTTGATTGTAATTTTACACATTTAAAATACAGAGATGGTGAAGAAAGTGACAAGTAATGGATATTTTTTAACAGTCATTAAAAAGCACTTTTCTAATATATGAAAGGTTTTTAATTGTGATAAATTTGCCAAATAGCTAAAAGAAAAACACCAAGCAAAAGTGAATTATATTACTTTTTTTTTTAGGCTAATCTCTAAGTTGAAAGCTTTTTAACATGTTAGCACTGTACAGTAAGAAAGGAGAAGCATGGAGGCACATATCCTTCCAGCGGCCTCAGAAACAAGAGGGCCAGTAGGCCAAACCACTTTATAAGGAGCAGACAGAGTGGACCAACACAAAGCCACTCGACAGAGGGAGCCCTTACCAGAGCCAGGGCTGGTTCTGCCAACTCAGGTTCTTAGTGTCCCTGCCCAGACTGAGAGGACCACTTCCACGACACCAGTGGACAAGCTGACTCCTTGCCCAGGTCAACCCTGAGGCCGGCTGTGGAATCACAGAACCTCCAGTAGGACACAGAAATGGGTTGGTAGCGAACAGAATCCGGATAACTTGCTGGTATGGTCAGTTGCCCCAGGGGCCTACTGGCCAGCCCTGTCAATAGTTTCAAAACGGGAACAAGGACCCTCATTGCTCAGAACAGATCAAGGAGACCAGAGGGGAATTAGATCTGAAGTTGTTTGGATAGATTCCAGATCAAGAATCTATAAGACCTGGCATGGCTATCAGGTCCCAAAACTGGGGTAAAAATTCTCCAAGATGGAAGTTTCCATGAAACCTTGTACTTTTGTGGACTATGACAGTGGCCAGGGCTTCTGTGTCCCCTCTTGGAAGAGGTGGCGTCAGAACTGAACCCACCGCAATTCACAGTGCACTGAGAAAATCAAACGCCCCTCCAGCGTCAGCTGCATTAATGCTCGGGCCAGTGGCAGAGCCAGGGTGGGCTGCAGTGCTGTTCCTTAGTCCTCCTTTGGAAATTGCATGTGTTACAGCCAGGAGCCAATCAACAGTCTCCTGGGATGACCAGTCAATTTTGAAAACTCTAGCGTGGCAAATTCTGATGAAAAGTAATCATGTTGTTCAAATTCATCTCTTTCTGAATTTTTTTTCTTTTTCTCACTTCCTTTTCCTTCTTTGGTTTCCCTCTGGTCTTATCAATGGGGAAGCTGTATCCGTATTTCTTATTTTCTTATTACTTCCAAAAGGACCACCCACCTCACAGACGACCCCTCAGAGGGAGAGAGCTCCCGAGGTTGTCTCCAGCAACATAGATGACAGCTTCAAGCTTCCCTCTCTCCTTGTAAAGGAAACCCACTGGGACTGGCTGATGCAACCCAAGTTCTTCAGGGTTTTCACAAGATCCCGGCGGAATCTCTCACCCACAAAAACATAGAGAACAGGGTTCAGGCAACTATGGAAAAAAGCAATAGTTTGAGTGACCTGGAAGCAGATGTCAATGTTGGTGGAAATGGCACAGCTGGAAATGAACATGGCATAGGCGTCAATGGTCTGCACCAACAGAACACTGTTGTAGGGGAACTGAGATAAGATGAAGACAGTAAGGACAGTGATGGTCACCTTCAGGGCCTTGTGCTTGGATGACTTCTTGGCTTGTATCAGAGTGTGAATGATGATGGTGTAGCAGCAAGCCATGACTACAAAGGGAAGGAAGAACCCCAGGATCACCTTCAGAGTCAAGACAGCCGACTTCAGTTTGGTACTCTCGTCACTGGGGTAAACCATGGTGCAGATGGCAACGTCAGATTCCTTCTTGACTTGGCTGTACAGGATTTCTGGGATGCAGAGCATGGCTGCTACCACCCAGACAGTAAAGCAAACCATTTTGCTGTACAGAAGCCTTTTCTGCCTCCAGGTCTGCGCTTTCATGGCCTGAGCAATGGCGATGTACCTGTCCACGCTGATGCACATAATCAGCAGCACACAGCTGTAAAAGTTCATCTTGTACATGCTGTTGACCACTTTGCACATGAAGGTCTCGAATTTCCACTGGTCAGCGGCAGCAATGGCCCAGAAGGGAAGAGTGACAAGGAAGAGAAGGTCAGCGATTGCCAAATTCAAAAGAAACGTGTCAGTCATGGTCTTCACTCTTGTGCAGTACCAGTAGACAAGGATGACCAGACTGTTGCCCAAGGCACCCACGATGAACACGAGCCAGTACAAGGGTGGGAGGAAGTAGCTCGCAAACTGCCTGACATTGTTTTTCTTACAAAAGTACTCAGTGAAGTTGAAGTTCACGTAGTCAGCCATGGAAGATGTGGAGTCATAGCTATAGTCATCAGACATATCAGCAATAAGGCTCTACAAGGAGACACAAGACAGAATTAGGTCAAGGACAATCTTTTGGAGGTCCTGTCTGATGGCAGAGGCATGGAGCACTTGACACTTCCAATCCTAAAAGTCTGTGATAAGACAAAAGAAATGTATATGTAGACAGTAGGAATTCTGAGAGCATCTGCTTAGATCATAATGGATTTATTTATTCAACAAACGTGTATTAAGCACCTACAATATGTCAGGTGCTGTGTACATGCTAAAAATATGGTGGTGAATGAGTGAGACATGGTTCCTGTTCTCATGGAACTTACCTACTCGTAGAGGGTGCCTACAAGCACGTGGACAGTTACAGGATGCGTGATGAGTGCTCTGATGGGGTAGGAAAGAGTGCTTCAGGACCACTGATGTGCACAAACCTTTACCAAACTAAGTGAATGATTCTGATCGTCCCGCTCCTCTGTGTTCCACCCTCCCAGAAAGGTCCTCAGAGGTTCTTAAACTTTTCTGGGTCCAGATCCGTCTGAGTCTTCTGCAAGTCCTCTACTCCAGAAGCACCAACATACATATACACACAAACACTGACACATGCACACATATACACGTACCCACACACATTCGTACACTCTCACATCCATGCACATACACAAGCCCCAGAACAGGTTACATGATTTTCAGAGTCCCTTGTTCAAAATTTGTTAAGAATTTCAAGACAGCAGAGCATTAAATCAAGTCAATGGCACTTCTAAGCACGGGACCAGGAAACCAGTCCTCACAAACACACATACTCACATACACACAAACACACAATGCACGCATACATTTACAGACACACTCACATGCTCACAAACATGCCTACACTAACACTCACATCCACACATGTATACACTCACACATATTCACACATACACACATATACCCATACTTTCAGATACATGCACACACACCTTCACAATGAGTGCACATACACACACACACACACACACACACACACACACACCTCTTATTACAGCTTGGGTTCCTGCCCCAGAAGCCATCCTAGAACCCCTGCAAGGGGAAGAGGAAATAAGGGCTAGAGATGAGAACCCCGAGACATGAGCCCTCGAGTCAAAGCCGGGACAGGAGGGAATGGAGGAGAGGCCCGCGGGGTGAAGAGGAGACACAGTCCCACATCTGCCCCCTTCCAGAGCGTCCACTCACAGAACTCAGACGCCCTCACTTCCCACCAGTCCCCCTCCCAGGGATCCTATTAGGGCTTCCAGATTCCACCAGGGACCACCAGCTCTGCTCCCTTGCCCCTAGGCACATCCTTGCCAAATCTCATCTCTACCTTTACTTCTCTTCAGGCAAATGCAACAGTTGTTCAGTTCATCTGGATGGATTTGGACTAGAAGTCACCTCAAATCCACAATATATTTTTATTTCGTTTTAAATATTAAATATTTAAGTGTAAATATTTAGCTTACATATTTAACTATTCGTAGTGAAATAATAAAATATCCTCTACCAGCTTTCTGTTAGCTGGGCTCTCCCCATCTATATACATTATAATTTCCATCTATCTCTAATAGCTTCAACCAGCATTTCGCAAACCATGTTTGGGATGGAACACTAATGGTTAAATAGTTGAGAATGTCTGCATATCACCTTCTTTGAAATTCACAATACCCATGAGCATATTAAAGGCTCTGAAAAGTCCTGCAGAACGTGTTTTATTTTAACTGCATATTAGAATAGTAAAGATTCTGCGCAGTCCTTCAGAATCTGTTGAATTTTGTTCAACGATGTTTCCTAAACGTATTCGTGCGTGGAACATGTTGTGTGTGTTTGTTGAGTGCTTATTAAGATTATCATGACACCCTGAGTTGACTGATAAAGGGCAGTGATGTCAGAGGCTGTTGTCTCCTGAATTCTGAAGCTCACATCAAGAGCTGAGGGGATGAGTCCATTCCATTTGGGCCCTGCCTGGCAGGAAGTACCAGGAGGACCCCAGGGAGGACACCCAAGTTGACTTGGACTAAAACTAGGAAAATCTGGAATCTAGTCCTGACTCCACCTCTAACGTGTGACCCAGAGGAACTCCTATTGCAACGAGGGAGACCCCAGGGGACTGGATCTAGGAGATGGCTCTTTAGGACCGGGCAGCTGGAAATGGCCCTCTGCCGGAAGGGCTGAGGAAAACTCTCCCCGTTTTCTATGTGCTTCATCTTCAGGCCTGATTCATCCATCCTCAGTTTACATTTAAAGATTCCCCTTCTAGTTTTGGCCATTGTCTGGAAACCCAGTCTCTTGGGAAGACATATGTCATGGGTATCACATATTTTAGTGAAGATGCCAGGAGAATTCTGCCCAAGCTGAACATGGGTGCCAGGCATAGTCCTGGCCCCACTGGGAAGGTCATTCCCTAAGAGGTGGGGCTGGAGCAGATTTTGAGCAAAAAGACTTTCTACTCTTAGGGTGGAAAGAAGAGCATAGAGAGCATGGAGACCCAAAAATGGGGATCACTGTAGATTTAAGAGGCTGGGAGGATGACATTTGAGAGGAAAGTCACTAAAGCCATGCAGACGAGCAGATGTCAACTGTGAATCCACATGGTGAGTAAGCATGAAACTGCTTTTGTAGAGGGTTTTTTTTCCCCCCACATTTTTTTTGGTCAAATAGCTTTAATAGACTCTCACATGAGCCTGAGCCCAAGGCTCTGAGATAGGGAGGCAAACAGCATCCCCCTTCACAGATGCAGCCCAAAGGATCTCACGGAGGGGACCTCAGACAGTCCCAGTGTCCCAAGAGACCCCGCTTTCTCCACTGTCCAGTAAGCAGGCACGTGACCACCACTCCCCAAGACTGAGTCCCAGAATGAGGACACTGTGTCCCACGTGAAGCACAAGGAGTGTGTTTTCTTGTTGGGTGAGGGTTGGAGGACCCAGTGCTTCAGCATAGAATTAAATTTAGTTAGGGACTCCCCAGGCATATTTTAAAAGTGATTCTATTCACACACAAAAACCTGGATTTGTATAAATTTTGTCAAGACCACATTTTTCGTGAAGACCAAGATGAGCCTACACCATCTTTACAAGTTCAAAGCTTTGGCCATCTTTATGAGGGTAACAGAGCACGAGTTCACGTCCCAGGCTCGGAGAATCCTGGACAAACGTGTCCCACCCCTGTCAGGACTTGCTCTCATAGCTTTGCACCTGCCTGATGGGTAAATATCCTCTGGATCTCAGACACAGAATCCTTTGAAAATCTCCCAGCAGAGGCAAATGTCAATATTCACCAATGTATTTTATTCACTGCCTTTGGAGTGCCTGGTGCTTGTCAGACCCATTGCTGAGCACGATACATATATTTAATCCTCGTGCTTCCAGGTAGGGGCAGTTCCGTCTTTCAGATGAGGGACACCGGGCTTCCAGGAGGAATTCCAAGGTTGCAAAGCCATTCCTTCCATCCTCCCTACTCTGAGTGTGTGCTAGAGACACTGCTGTTGCTGGAGAAGCTACCTACCAAGGCTGTTCTCAAAGCCTGGGCCAGAAAAAGATCTTGAGAGAGGATGAGTGAAAGGACCTGAAATCCACACATTTTCTACCCCATGTTCCCTCCAGGAGCACGTGCCAGAGCCTTGTAGTGTGAGCACTGTGCAGAATGACTTCTCACAAGCTGCCCTGGCTTCCTCGGGGTCTGCATTGAGGTGGGATCTAAGGCGCTGCCCAGTGCTGCCCACTATCTCCACTGAGACGGGGGTCTCAAGGGGCTTGTCCATATAGCCCTGTGTCCTGCACGCTAGGACCTACCCTAGATGTTTATTTGGCATTTAAATACAAAAAGGATATGAAGAAAGGTTTTTGTGTCTCCTGAAGAACAGGAGAGGGGTTTTTTCTCATGGACCATAAGATTTTATGACTTCCCTTTTTAATTGGGAAGCTCAGCCAACCGTGTAGCCCAATTATAGTAACCAACCACGACCATTTAGTCCAGTGCTATCCTCTAGAAATATAAGGCAAACCACAGGTTATGTTTGCATTTTCTAATAGCCACATTAGAGAAGTAAAAAGAAACAGGTGGAATTCATTTTAATAATATATTTTATTGAAACCTAACATAGCTAAAATATTATCATTTCATTACATAAGCAATACAAAAATTATTGAGATATTGTGCATACTCTTTTCAAACGGAGTGTGTTTTACACCACAGGACATCTCAACCGGAACAGCCACATTTCAGGTGCTCAATAGGCCACACGGCTGGTGACTGCCTCCCTGGACAGCTCGGCTTTAGACTGAAACCCAACCTCTAACCCGTCTCCGTCTTTTCTGCCTATTCTATCAGTTTCCTCTGACCCGGTTTTAATTTACATTCTTTTTTTTTTTTTTGCCTATTCTGTTGTATCCTCCCAAAGTGCCTCAAATCTGTGATGGAACATGAGGTGGGCAGGGATAGCGTTAGATAGGGCCCTCTTGTACCTAGAAAATGTCCTGACCCTGCGCTCTGAAGGGGCTGACCAATGCTCGTTCATATCTTATTAAAATGTCTAGAAATATTCTTACCAAAGGTTTCACTTGCTGTGTTTCTTACCAAACTATGTTGTTCTCAGACCTTCTTAAAAACATGAAGTCTTTACCAAAGTTAGACCACTATTCGCAGGAGCCTGAGCTGGATCTCGATTCTTCTTCCGCTATGAGGAGTGATCATCGTTAGGGTGGGGAAGAGTCTGGACCTGGCCAGGATGGTGTTTTTGTGAAAATGTGACTATCTCGTTCCCTGCCCAGACTGAGACAATGGCACGCTCATAACGTCATTTGTTCATTCATTCTACAAATATATACTGAGCACCGTCTACATGTCAGGCAAGGAAACAACTTCCAAAGGACACCATTCGTGTCGATGACGAAAATAGAAATGGAGCAGGACATTGGGGGTCCTGCTGGGGTCCTGGCCCCCGCTGATGGGCCAGGGTGAGGTGAGCAGGGATGACATGAGGCCCGTTTGCCGCTCTCGGGGCCCTGATGGCAGATCCACAGCTCAGTAACGGGGCGGCATTGAGCCAGGGCGGCTTGGGGGGACAGCTGTGTTACTCCTCAGGGGCTACTTAATTTGGAGATTTATATCATTTATTTTGGATGATTTTTAGCATTTTGATCAAGGGAAAAAAATTACTGCGTGAATAGTCATAGATTTGAGTAAACAAGGGAATGTGTGTAACAGCATGCCCAGTGGCTGGCCCAGAACTCAGC